AAATATGTTGTTCTCACAGGACAGCGACGCTACAAACACGTGATGATCTTATAGAATATGATGCATTGCTGGTTAAAATGAGCTCAAGCTTAAAAACCTACAGCAGTAAAATGTAACACAGTGGGACCGTTTTACTGTATAATGAGTTCTTTGACTTTTGATACTTTGAGAAAATTATATTTACATACTTTTACTTAAGTAAGATTTTTATTGCAGGGCTTTTACTTGGGTACTTTTACAGTGTTACTTTTACTGAAGTACAGGATCTGAATACGTCTTCCACCACTGAAACAATTTAGTTTCATGGTTTAATGAGCATTAGTGCCTCACAGGGCCACGTGCGGCTGTTGACATTTATTCATATGATTCTCACGCACTTCAACATAGCCTTTTAGCCTAGTTTTTAAATTAAAAAATCCAAGCGTCTTTCTTTCTCTGAGTGTCTACACACACTGGTTTGCTGCAACATGAGAGACATGAGAGAGTTTTTCTCACGCCAGACAGGTCTGCAGCAGCTAATGGTTAGTAATACAGGAAGAGATGCAATTAAAAGACAGAACAGCAGCAGAGCACACTCACTAATTCACCTGAGAAAGAGAGACTACTGAGGAGGTGAGAGCTAATTACCCATTACCTAGTGTTGCAAACGTATCCTACAAGAGTTAAATCCTAATCTGTTTAATAAGGGCAAAAGGCTTTGTTGTGTCTCTCTTTTCCTTTGTTTTGTCTTTTTCTGAGCATTATTCTATCAAACTGCAGGATCAGATGCTAGAGATACTTGGATTCTCTTTCAGTGAGCAACATGCCCACAGAAGAGTTTGTATTGGCTGAACGTGTTTGATGTACAGGTCACATTTCAGTATATGCAAACTGAACAGGGTAAGAGGGCTTTGCAAGTCTTGCCCTTCGAGTGGTTATCAGTAAAAAAACAAATGAAGTGGTGAAGCAAATATTCACATAACCTCGGTGCACAGTCCAACAAGGCCTTCGGGGGAAAAAAGCGAGAGAACTAAAGACGAGGGGAAGTGATGAAGACGATGATGACATACTTCTTATCTGCATTGCTACTCACCTGTAGGAGAGAAAAAAAGAGGGAGAATGTGTGGGAACAAAGCAGTAAAGCAGCAGGTGATGACAGCTAATTTTGAGTCTGTGTGAGGTTAAAGACGCCCTGAAACCGCTCTCACACCACTGGACCATCACCTCCACACCGTGTTTAGCCTAAATGACCACTGTAACCTCCTCATGCCTTCACTTTGCCCTGTTATTCTCACTTTGACCAGTATTTCATGTGCTCGCTCATTTTTTGAAAGCCAGATGGTGCACACATCCTACTCCCTACTCCAGGATCTGGGAGTACAAAATCCACTTGTCGTTGTATTAAAGTTTCCAGCACATCAGTCGCAGCTCTGAGCTCAGTGGTGCTGAACAGACAGAACAAAATCATGCACCGTCTTTGGCTGCATTCATAATGATGGATCCCCAGTACAAAGTCAAATTAATTTTTTTTTTACTGTAAATTTTTGTTACTGTACATCTGACCTCAGCTTTTCCCCTCCTGATAGATCAATAGTTCACCTAGTTAACCCAAATTTTACAGCAGAATGCCAGGGTGGGTTCCCAGTTCTAGACAACTTTAATAAGCCAGAGCTATAACACACCAAGTTTATTCTTGGTCTTCAAGGTGACAAGAAATAGCATTAAACTGACCTGATATTCTTATTTACTTAGCCAGGTGCCTCCTGTTTATATGTATCCTGACTTAAAAGACAATATCAGTATTTAACACGACACGCTAGCTTCTTGATTACAAATTATGTGTATTTCTTGCCACCTATTTAAGAGTGTATGTTTTCCATTTATGGATGTATTGTTCCTGTAGCTACAGGCAGTCAGTGGTTTCAACTAATTTCTAAATTATATGAAAATAAGTAAACATTTGAAGCACAATCACAGTGAAGATCAAGTTAGCATTACATTTCCTCAACATATTTTAATAGCGTTGTAATGCAATATTTCATTCTTTATTATATTATTCGTTATAATATTCAGTGTGCAATTTTGCTTCTATTTACTCACTACTACTGTTCATCACAATTCTGTTAATAATGTAAATATTGTACATATCCATAATCCTTTATATTTATATATTTCTTTAAATACCAACTTCTATTATTATTTCTACTCTTTATGCCTTGATGTGCAATGTGTGCAATTGTAACACAAGAATTTCCTCTTGTGGATCAACAAAGTATTTCTGATTGTGATTCTGACACTGCAGTAGGCTACAGACTTTTCAAGATGAACACTGTGGTAACGTTAGCTGCCAAATGCAAAACCTTGGTCAAGCCAGTCGATGTCTGATTATTGTTGTGCCTAAAGCACTTAGTGTTCAGATAAACAAAAATAAAAACTAATAGAACTAGCTTATAATTTATTATTATTATTAATATTATCTTTAATCTTAAAGCCTATAGAGCATGAAGAAATACTAAAGTACAATAATATGATATTGATAAATTATTGTATTGTTACTATCCACTTCGAGAATGCTTGGAAATGCCCTCCAACACTGAAACGAAAACAGAAATTTATATGAACTTTGAACTTTCACCAAACTAATTCCTCAGTAGTTTAGTCCACTGTTGTCATGTCTTCTGCTTCCTAATAATAAATCTTCTATCAGTGACACACATTTGGTAACATTTTACTGACCCAACATGCAGACATCATCATGTAAAATCCCCTCCAACAGCCAAAATTACACACAGTTATAACGGTGTAGCCTACATTTGGAGTTGGACTACCTATTTCTTTATGTTCAAAAAAAGAACAGAAAGAGGTACATTTTGTTATAAGATTAAAGCTATAATAATTTATTATTAATATTTATGCTATTTATTTGTGTTCGTCTTAACATTAAAAACATCACAGAAAACCCGTACATGCAGCCTGTGTATCAGGATCCTCTCTCAGTCCCAAAACGGCGCAACAAAACTCAGATGCTCTGTATTGACCTAGGGTTTCGCGTTCAGCGGTGTAACAAGATCTGTGACCCATCAGATTCTGTGACCACACCTGAACGACCTGTTCCTCACCCTTATCAATTACCTTTGGTGCCTAAACCTAATCATGTTCTACTTTTGGTGCCTAAACCTCACCAAACTGCAACAGCGTCAACAAAGCCTCTGGCGTAGGGTGACCAGACGTTCCCGAAAAATCCGGGACAGTCCTGAATTACGAGTTGTCCCGACCCCTTTCCGGTTTGTCCCGACCCCTTTCCGGTTTGTCCCGAAAATTAGACCTAACATGAGTTTTGATTATAGCCTAATTAAACATTAAATATTGATCGTTGTGTAGTTCTCTCGCTCCAGCAGAGGTTGCAGGTTATCTGTACATTGTGTCAACAGCGTTGTTACAGCCACAAAGTAACACACGTCGTGCTCTTTCCCCTTTTTCCCCTTTTTGTTTTCTTGTGGTTAGTGGAATTTGAAGTCGCGAGGACAGGGAAAGTGTAGCTTCGGGCAGCCACGGCACGGCGGAGACATCTGACACGCACTGATGACATGACTAAAATAAACATACAAATTTGGTAAAAGATCATGATTTACCTACATCCACTGTTGTGTTTTTGACAGACAGGTGACTTCATGAACAAAAATAATTAATTTTAGCTTTGTGTTTTGATTTTCACGTGTGTTTATGTTTATTGCCCTTTAACGCCTGTCTTCCATCATGTACAACTGTTAGGTCACGCAAAATGCGTGTTTCATTTAAATGACGCAGCTGTTTTTTTTTTAGTTTCACTGCTCAGTGAAAGCCAGACCACTCACATTTTCCACAATCATGACTAGCTGATACTAACAACTTTTAGTCAAAGGCAGTCAACTTCACCTGGCTAACCTTCGTCAGACCCGACCTGATGACCTCGGCGCCGCACTCGCGCTCCGCAATACGCTCTTTCGACCACACAAACTGGCGTTCAGCCACACAGTCCATGCATTTGGCACACGTTGTATTCAAAAGGGGGCGCCGTTTCACACATTTGGCAACACCTGCAAACGTGTGACCACAAACCAATAACTACAACCATGGTGTGTATTTATTTTTTTGTATTATTTAGGCTATATTACTTATGCCACTACTAAAAAATGTTTCATCCTATTAGAGGTAGGCTGTGGAAACTCAGCAGTGACGTATTGTTATGATCAAAAGGTGCTGAAATAATTAAGAGGAAATGCTTTTTATATTGCCGTACAACAAATGGTGAAAGAATTACTAGCCGGCTATGACCTGTAGTCCAGTTACAGTTGCCAAGTCTTTTATAAGCACGGAACATGTGCATTTTTGGTTTGGAAGAAAACTTATGTTCTCGCCAGTCGATTCTCTCTGCTGGAATAAAACTATTTTAAATTATTTAGAGCTAACCTCGTGCTGTTTAAACTGAACACACGCACAAAAATCACATATTCACTGAGCTGGTTACAACTTTGTTTGGCAAACTATTAATTTTGTGGTACATTCAGTGCCTCGTTACATTATAAAAAGGCTAACTGTAAATACTGGGCCAATATAGCGTATTTAGCCAAATATTTGCTTCATATCTGACCAGTTTTATCACTTCAATTGTGCTGTTAATCTGCTTTGTGTACTTTTCCTGTAAAGAACTCATGTTTCTCTGCTGGGTCTTCTCTCCAGATCATAAAACAGTCCATGCCAGAGAGTTGTGTTAATTTCGTAAACCACCAATGAACAGCACACATTACCCACACTGCAGTGTCATTAGTACTCATAACACCACCCTGCACTGACATGTTTAGACTTATTGGAAAACTTAAATTCGCTCATCAGGACCGTGAAAACATCAGGCGTATAAAATTAACTTCTCATATTCAATACACATTTTTTTTTTTACTACCACTTTAGACTAACTGCTGACTGACATGCTGCCACTTGACCCGTTCGTCTCACTAGAAATTATCACTGAGAAATTACAAGAGTGTTTTTTTTGTCTCCATTTTATTTTACAAAGTCTCCACAGTTTCAGCATCACACTCAGATGTTCCTGTGAAACAGAAGAGGGGGAGAGGAGATGTTACTTGATAGAAAGTTAACATTTAAAAGTTTTAAATTAATAAGAAAACAGTTGCAATTTTTCCCCTCTCTGCAGCAGAATTGATTATCTAATTACTTATTTTATGTATTTTCTTAAATCAACAGCACAACATACTGGACAGATGGTCTTTACATTGAGAGGTGAATCTTAAAATATGACTAAACCATCAACAGGGCTTTTTCACACAAGACATTTTCACATGTTGAAGTAAGAAAAACAAAGGTGTAAATAATGAAATTAATAAAATGATGGCTGAATTCTATTTTAGCTGCTTTAGTTTCAGGCTCCTGGTATTGTGCTTGCTGGCTGACAGTCATTGGATACCGGGAAATTAGCTGCAGACTCTAGCAGTTGTTAATGTTAGTAGTAAAACCTGCGCTTTCTTGCCATCAGTCAAAATAAATGCTGTGAAAAAAGGCCCATATATTTCCATATTAATTCCAAAAGTGCGTTAACTTTGTGCGTGTTTCTACAAACAAACAGTTAATAAAGTGCTCAACTGGTTCTCTGTGAAAATGGGTTCTTACTTTGCAACAACGGTGTCATTCTTTGCCAGCCTCAGGATAGAGTCGTCAGACTCACCCTGAAGAAAGAAAGAAAAAAATCTGTTCAAACGCTTTCAGCGATTAGACGACAGGAGCAGGTTTTCAGTAAAAACTATCAAGGCGTTATGACCACCACTACACTCAGGTCACGGTCGTTTCCACTGCAAAAAAGGAAAGGGCTCTTCTTTTCTGTCCAAACACATCCAAAACCTTCCTTTGTGGATAAACTGCACATTTTGCACTAAAAGTACTAATTCATGTTGAATAAACTGGCCTTGATTCAATCTACCAGTTCAGTTTAGTAAATTTATAGTATATTGATGAATTGTAAGTATGGCCTCACTCTGTAATCACTACACTTCAGTCTCCAGAAAAAAATAATTCTCTGCTACAAGACTCTGACAACTGACAAGAAAACTATCGGCTCTTGTTTGACAAGCAAAATGTTGAGGTTTCTGTGTTTGGGACAGCAGGTTAATAGAGCCCCAGGTAATAGCAGGTAAAGTAAAACGCAACAGTCAGCTGACACTTACCATTCTGCGGATGGCTCCACAGATAGCGTAGGTCTTGAACTGACCATTGAAGCGACCGGTCACCTTGTCAACCTGCAGAGGACAGAGTACACTAGATAAGAACAAAGACATAGAAACTATAAAATATTGCCATGGGAAACGTTCTGCAAATTGATTTTTATAAAAACACCCAATTCCTTAAAATAAAGATCTTTATCCACTGATAAAGATTTGGTTTCAAAACAATTCAGCATCATGAAGAATTAAAACCTGCCACCATCTGAAAAAGTACCAAAAGTATGTTTTGAATAATATTTCACATTTGTGATCATTTAAGATTTTAGATTTGGGGATGCATTTGTGTCCTGCTGTGGCAAGTATATACTGATTTCAATTCATCTCCCAGTGAAAACCATTAAACAGACTCCTGAAATTTTCCAGGAGTTGTATAATCCATCACAGTGAGCACACATTCTTGGTCAGTTATATTTATGTCTGCCGTTACATTTTCCTATCACATGGAAATGAATGTAAAGTAATGGCTGCATGTAAAAGTTAGGACAAATACACCCCCCAGAAAGCAGAATGTCAAGTGCCCTTTAGCAACACTGACTGGCATGACCCAGAGACAATAAATCAATTTGTTTCAGATAACCCATTGACTGCTTTTAAAGTGACAACCTGACCGACAAGACTACTTTAATTATTATAGGCTATTAGTTACTGACAAGACTTCTGTTTCCATGCTAGAGAGCCTATTTTACGACTGAAAATGTCCAGCTTCACATTATGTTACGGCATCAATTCTTCACTTGTATGGTGCTTTTGTGGTCTGCTCGTGGGCAACTACATGCAAACTTTACAACCGACACAGGCTGCATTTTACTATAATACTAACTATAATTATTCACGTGGTAGAACATGTGTCACCAAGATAGTGGACTGCCTGAAAAGTTGCAAACTACCACAAACAAAACAACAAATAAGGTACGACATATCCTCCAATAGTGTGACTACTAGGGCTGTCCCTGACTAAGCATTTACATAGTCGAATCAGAATCATTAAGTCCTGCCTAATTTTGAGAAGCTGCAGAGCTGCAGTCTCTATTCATTCAACTTACACTGTAAATTTCCAGCTAAACTGAGGCTTTTTGTTGAACATTTTTCTCTCTCTCTCTCTCTCTCGTCATTCAGTCTTGTGCAGAGGTTAACGTGCATGTCGGGCTACCGACAACTGCATGTATGTCGCGGTTCCTCGCGGGTCTATTTCAAGTAGCCGGCTATTTAAAAACAATAACATATTCTTTATGTGGTTTATCTACGGTGATAAATTATCCGAAAGTCGTGGTGCTGACAACTCAGCACAGCACCAGTAAAGCTGGGGCTCTTCAGCAAGTGTTCCTCCACTACCACTACACACATGCACACTATGACTAAACATGTGCACTGACGATCCAGGGTTAGGGTTACAATTTTGGATTTATTTACGCACTTTAAAAACACATGTTTATTTACAGCATTAAACGCTGAAATGTATTTTGTAATAGGCTGTATGTTAACTTATTGGGAGAAAACTGGTAGTTCTATGTAAAGTCAGATGTTGAGCACCCCCATATCGCCAAAACGGCGTAATCCTTGTTTCGCTGCAAAGCTGAGATTGCTTCGAATCAGGCTCCGCTCATCGAAGCATCGAATCTTCAACTATTGGGGGTCAGCCCTAGTGACTACACTGAAATACTTGGACTGACTCCAAACGTGTCCTTATTAAGGTTGAAGCAAACAAAACGCCATCTATGTCACTTAAAGTGATTTTAAGTGACAATCTTTGGTGGTCTAGTCAAGATTTATTTTATTTATAAACACGTGATTGTTTCTGGTTTTTCAGAACAGATAATGCAGGGTTTGACCTCAAAACAAAAACCATTTCAATCAAAGTTCTGGGGCAGGTTTGGATCATACTCTTTCAGAATTACAGCTCAGCTAAGATGTTAATTAGTCAAGTGTGGGTTAGGTTTAGCATGTTTTGAGGCTTTTAAACTAGCATGACAGAACAAGACAAATATGAAGAGTCTTTCGTGTGATTTCTAAATTGGAAAGCCTTCAGGCCGAGTTAAATAAAATGTATCATGAATTTATGCTGTTCTCCTTTACCTGCTTGGATTAAAACTCAAACACGGTGTTTGGTTTATTCAGCTGAAAAGCACTCAAGGTGTAGTTGATCTCGGCCCTGTCTTCAAGTTTCAGCCTTTTTTTAAATTAGCATTATTAACATAATCGATATTGATCATGAGCAACTAAGGTTACATATGACTGGATCAACAAAACTTAAATTCCTCACTTTACCTCAGCAATGTTGATCTGAATGGAAGCATGATCCTTGGCTCCAATGATTCTGTTGCTAGCAGAGCTGCAAAACACACATTCAGTCTTTTTAACTTAGATGTTAAACTGATGATTAACTAAGTTACAAGCTATAATTCCCCAGTAATCCTCAGTCCAGCTGTATCATCCAGTTACCCGGGTACATGCCACTCACCATTTACGGGGGACGTAGAGGTCCACAAATTCACCAGCGTCGTTCTGCATGTTTATAAGGTTGTACAAGCGGTCGCCTACTAATCTGAAAACAATAAAATTAACGTTAGACCACAACAGTAATCAGAAATACGTTTTTGTTACAGCTAACTAGCGTTAGCCACCGCAGCTCCGCTAACGTTAACATTCTAGCATACTTTATGTAAAACAACTTCTAAGGGTTCAACAGCCGCGTTATTCACAAAGCAAAGGTAAATATCACCGTAAAGAATAAAAAACAAGCATTACATTTCCACAATAACGGAAAACTACATCGAAACCAGCGGTTAACGCTCCAGGTCGCGTTAGCCTGCTAGCACAGCAGGTTGTTAGCATGAGGAGCGCACATCTCGGCCGCATGTCGCTGCTCTCACACTCGAATAACGTCTGATATTTACACACAAATTCTGCGATAAACACCACAAAAACTGTATCTACAGCTACACGGTCATGTTAACTTTCACACTCTTCGCATAAATCACGACTATGTAGCGATAAACTACTATTTTAAAGCATTTTTATGACGAGAGCTCGACAGAAACCTACCGTATACGACAAATGGCCGACAGGAAAGGAAGCGCCTCTGATCCGGAAGTGAAAATATCTCTAAATGTTTTTGTCGCCACCTGCTGGATCGTGTTATTACAACCAGAATGAGCTACACCAAATGTTTAGAGCTATGGTTTAGACACACTGTCTACATACCTTTGTCTACTTTGACCCAGGGATAGTGTTGTAGTACTCGAGACCGGTCTTAAGACCACTTTTTGATGGTCTTGGTCTCGTCTTGGAATTGACCGTCACTGAGTGCTCGGGATTTTATTTCAAGACCAGTCAAGACCGTTAACTTTGGGAATATCAATAAACTGCTTTTGCATTGTCTGATTTATTTGTTAACATCCTAACTTTGATTGGATGTAAAATGTACTGCTTCAAATGCAACCAATAACCCTAATTAAAAATGCGTTGTTCCCGTTAACGACTGATGGTAAGTAAGATGTAATGTGGGGAACCGGTCTTGGTCTCGACTTGGTCTCAGGCCCTAAAAGTCTTGGTCTTGTCTTGGTCTCGATAAACTCCGGTCTTGGTCTTGACTTGGTCTCGGTTTGGGTGATCTTGACTAAAAAACTACTCAGGGGCTGTTTTTTAATGGCCATAAACGGTGTATTTTTAGTACAAATGATCCGCTGTTTCTGTGACTGATGTAAAAAGTCCAAACATTCTGATTATGCTTGAATTATTCAATAAAGTTTATTAAGTTTACAGTAAACACAAGCATGGCAACAAGTTATGATGCACATAATGCAAAATAAATAGTTTGACATTTGTATTGAACACAAATATTCTTAAAGGATTACATGATACATGTAACCAATGTGTGACATATACATACGGCGCATATTACATCTTACAAGAAACGCATATAGGGTTTATTTCTCCACAAAATCGGATTCCCCTTTAAAACATGTCATTCCGAAATCTGTGACACTCCCAAAAAAAATTCAGCAACTTATGACATTTAATCACACCAAACATGTCATATGGTTAATTTATGTCACTAACACACAAACAACTTCAGCTATGACCTTTTCCACAATGAAATTATATTTAGCCTGTCATAAAAGATAGTTATAATAGGCTATATCATATAAATTATTTAATTGTAACAAATAAATATATAAATAAATTAAACATTTAAACACAATATAATTATTAAATCAGATATGTTAGACAGCAACTTGTTGACTTGTCCAGTGGTCATTTTGGTTGTTCCTTATTGACACGTACATCCAACAGCCAGCTTGTAGGGACACCTGCACCAGGTACCAGAATTGGTCAGCTCGTTGACATATATCTCAAGGTAGATAGGCTTGGCGATCCTGTTTGTCACATGGCAAACCGTGCAGTTAGCATTCATGATGATCGAAGGTTCCCTGCTTGTGTTTGAAACATCTTTACTGAAAAAAAAGGGGGGAGGGGAATGAGCATGAATAAAATGAGGCGTACATGAAAGCAGAGGTACAAACCAAGGTGCAAGAGACAAATTAAGAGGTTGAGAAAGCTATGGACGTCAGCTTTAACATCTTTTCTTGTTCCAGAACTTCATTTAAGCTCTGTCACAAGTAAGACAAATATTCAAATCAGAGATGTAATTTTTGATAGCTGCAAGGCGGCATTAATTGATTTATTCTGTTTTATTTTATACAAATGTCCCTGCAATTCGCACTAAACTTCTAGCTACATTAGTGAAAAGGCTCTATGGCTGGTAGTCCACCACTCTGGTCCAGAGATGGATTATTATGAAATTCGGTAGCCTTTGCTCAGACATTCACGGTCCCAACAGAGTGCATTACAATAAGTTTGGTAATCCCCTGACTTTACATCAGGGACCTGTGTCCATCTCTGACCTGCTCCACCCTTTTATCACCAGTAGGTCACTGAAGTCACCTTTATCTTGCCTCGGGCTGTCTACTGTTTTTAATCCTGTGAGTTTTGAAGGTCTGTTGTTAGCCTACTTACCGGTATGTTTTATTGTTTGATGGTTTTTACTGTTTTTATGGTGTTGTTACTTATGTTTTATTGTTGTTTCTTTTACTGTTTTTATGGTCTTATTATTTAATCATTTTACTCTTGTTAAGCTCTTTGTGACCTCGCGCTGTGAAAGTTGCTATACTAACAAAACTTTAAGTACTTACATCTAGCGCCTCATCATGTCAAAATTCTCCTATTGTCCAACATGTTAACGTAATGTTAACAAAGCAATTTTACAGCAACACAGTTGACTTCCAACATGATTGGACAACACTTCCTTTGAACTAGTTCTGTTCGAGCATAACCAGATCCTGAGTGTTGTTGAAACTTAACAAAAACTTCACTTGGGAAAAGTAACTCAATAACTTTTATACTTATAAATATTGTATATTAAATTGTAAATGAATCCAATCCCAATTGTACCATTCAATAAAAGATTTGACGAAGTAATTGTAATTGTATTTGAGTAAGATGTTTTGACAACTCACATCAGGTTCCACGGTGCAACTGAAGAGGTTTTGAGGTCTGACACGTGTTTAAAGTCCAGCATCAGATTTTGGGTAGCATTTTTACAGTTGGGTGGGCAGACAGAGTGGCTGCACACTGTCACCATCAGTCCGAGTAAAATCTGGAAACACAAACATATATAGAAAAATATGAGTCACATTATCAACGTCTGTGATTCAATCGCTGCTTCTTCCGTGATCAGGATCAGGACTTCTGTCTCTCTCTTTAAAATTGGAAGGCTTTCAAACTTACATTATTACCCTGCATGTATTTGCAGGCATTAAGAAAATGAAAGCACAGAAATTAAAAAAACATTTTCGTTTTTACTCATCACTCATTATCTCAACCTCTTATCTCCACTGTTAAAAGCTTTTCAGTTCTGCTCTGTTGACAGTACTCACCAAAGCACTGGCGTTGGAGGAGTTCATGCTGATGCTGGAAAGCAGAAGTGAATACCTGGATGACACAGAGTTGTTGGCGTCTACCTCTCACTGTACCTGTTTTTATACTACAGTGGTGATGAAAGAACAAATTTGCATTCATGGGAAAACAAGCGAGGCAGCATCATGGGCCATAGCCAAAAGTATATTGTCATCTCACTTAGATTTTCATCTGTGACTCATCATTCAGCATGTCTACGGGTCGTTAACAAGTCATACTTTCGGTGTAGCAAATATCAGGGCTTAAACGTTATTTAAAAAATATAGTTTTTGATTAATTAAATGAAATTAATTATTAATTTCATAATTTTAAGGCTCTTCATTTCAACATAAATCTTTTTTTCTAATGTAACTGTCAGAATCAGCAGAATGTCATGTTTTGACTTATAACCCAAACCTGCAATAACATCAATGCAGGACCTAATATATTGACCTTTAATAGCTTAATCAATTGTCTTGTTGGTAAAATGAAATTTATGGAGCTGATATTTTACCTTAAATAATTTTGCAAATGCATTTGTAGTTGAATGCCTCATTATCTGATAAAGTAGTATCAGTATTGCAAAACACAAAGACAACCAGACAAAAATACTGCATATTCATTGCCATTACATCATTGTGGAGTTAAAAGGATCACCTTCATCATCCTGGTGTTTACCTGATGGATTGATTCCATACAACAAACCACAACAACCACAGCGGAAAGTGGGAGGGATTACTCCTGGAGGCGTGGCGGGGGATCTCACCACAATACGGAGCTTCCCCTGAATTTGACTCGGGGAAGCCTACACTCACGCCCACACAGAGAGTTTTCCCATGTCACAGTCAGCAGGCGTATGAGTACCAGCTTGCTGCCTATGCCGTGTCATGTTCTGCCCCTTTATAGTCTGCTTCCTTGCTTTCAGTAAACCTGAAAGTTTCAAACTGGGAAAAAACCCTCCTAGATAAGTATTACAAAATACCAACAGTTAAGCATGCAGAGGGAGAGTTTGGACAGTAAGCAGTACAGAAAGAAGAAGTGTGCCCCCGGATCTGAGTAAACAGGCAGGCTATTGTCAAATCAGAAACACAATATATTCTGTTCCTAGTCTCAGACTTTAAAAACCTTGAAAATATCTCTATGTTGAAATGTTTCTTTTACTTCTCTCACAAGAGAAGTAAAAGTCCAAACATGCTGAATATACTTGAATTCAATAAAGTTTATTAAGTGAACAGTAAACTGAAGCATGGTAAGTATGCACATTTTCGAGTGGCCTTTTATTGTGGCCAGCCTGAGGCACACCTGTGTAATACCCATGCTGTCTGATCAGCACCTGTGAGGTGGATAGATTATCCTGGCAAAGGAGAAATGCTCAGTATTTGTAAACAATATTTTAGAGAAATAGGCCTTTTGTGTACATAGGGAAAGTCTTAGATCTTTGAGTACAGCTCATGATGAATGGGGGCAAAAACCAATTTTGTGTAAATTTTGTTCATAGGTAAACGTAAAGGTACTTTATTTGTCACATACACATACATGTAGCAAAGATTCAACCTCTGTATTTAACCCATCCCTGAAGGGAGCAGTGCGAAGCCACTGTACAGCGACCGGGGGACCAACTTCAGTGTATATCCTTTTTCTAATGTATTTGTCAGAATCAGCAGAATGTCATATTTTAACTTAAAACCGAAACCAGCAATAACATCACTGCAGGGACTAATAAATTGACCCAATAGCATATCAATATTCCAGTTGGTTAAAGGCAATTTATAGACCTGATGCTTAAATAATTATATTTCTTTTATAATCTTTGATTTAACAACCAAAGACCTATAGGTCTATGGTCGTTTTACTTTGGAGGACATGCTCTAAAAGTGAGAAGCATTATTCCTGGAGGTATGTCAGGGGATCTCACCACCATCCTGAGCTTCCTCTGAATTTGACTTGGGGAAGCTTACACTGACAGAAAAAAGCTTTCCCTTGACACTAGAAACAGGCCACACGCAACTGGACTATACAACCAACGGCCAGAGCAGGACTACAGTCTTCCTGTTGTATTCATAAGTTGTATTAGTTATTTAAAATGATCAAATGCGCGATCAAAGTTTCTGCCCATCATCATTTGTGTGGCGCGTCATAAAGCGCCGT